ACCTCATCCACCACGGCAAAATTGAACCTGAGGACTGGGAGGGTCCGCAGGCGCCCAAGCACAGATTCATTCGGCTACCCGAAAGTGACCGGGCGTTCACATGTGATCTGCTCCAACACCGACCAACGTTGGTTCTTCACACCAAGCCGCGGCGAACCCTCTCGGAGAGAGAGGTCCGAAGGTGACGGAGCCATCTGGTCACGGAGGTAATCGAAACCCAACTCGCCTCGGCCAACTACCGTGCGGAAACCCGTGATGAGTCCGGCGTTGCCAAACCATTCTGACATGGATGTGGCACATCTGTCGCCAAAGCCGAAACCAGCCCAAGTCAAAGGCGCTTACTGCTTCGCACCTTCATCTTGCTGCTAGGATGCTGTTGGTGACGTAGGTGACATCACACCTGTAAGCCTTCTTCTTCTGGTCAGCAGGCATCCCATTCCTTGTGTAATCGAGGTGCTTGCTTCGAAGGACAAAAACATCCTAGGTATTGCAGGCGGCCCGATATATCTGAGACACGCCGTAGTAGGTAGCGTATAGGGTCTCCTGCTCGAATCTGAAGACTGAGCCGCCCTGTGTCGGCATGACACTTGAGACTTGAATCCCGCTTTAGATGCTGGCGGTGCTGTCCGATACATGTGCAAGTCTCTAGCTGAACGCAATGCCACGGACATGCTGCAGGAGTGGGTTGCCGTTGTTTCAATGTGGCAGAGGCTCTGTACCACGCCCACGGACATGCCCAAGAAGCGAAGCGGCTGGCCAACCTCCCACATGTAGTGGAGTTAACATCAAGCCAATCTGGCATACACCCCCTGCCCTGTTGATATTCCCACAAGCACACAATGACAAGCTGCCGTGCAATGAGTAGCCGAAGTGAACTACAGAATTCGGCGTGTTTTTGCGGAGGAATGTGAGTAGCCACGACATGTCAGAACCATCGGCGAGGGTGGGGCTTTGGGACTTCGCTGCGATTTGCTTGTGCCACGTTTGGGGATTCACAGTATACTTGACAGCTGCACTGCCGCTGCAGGCCTGGTTGAGTCATCATTATCATAATCATCATCTTCCTCTTCATCATCATCATCATCACCACGCATATCATCGTCATCATCATCACCGCCATCATCATCACCACGAAGTCATCATCATGAGCAGCATCATGCACCAACATTGCTGGCAGTGGTGGTACCGTGCGACCCAAGACACAAGACAGCTGCCAGAGCAATGCACAAACAGGGCGACATGGGGCCCGGTTTGTGGAAACTTCCGCCAAAGATACAGTCTTCGACGAAACACCACCACACGGGACCGCCGCCGTTTCAGAGGTTTTTCTAACACCCTGTTTGGCAGTCATCATGCACTTCAAGCAGCCAAAAGTTGTGAAGAGGTATACAGCACCCAGAGCCGCATTGCCAACTACAGGTTAACAATCGCTTCTCGGCTGTAGAGCTTGAGAAGTACATCGGCTTCTGGGAAAGCTTTCAACCTCTGGCGTTTCTATACGACAGACCAACGGGGAAAGCAGCGTGGCAGTGCTTTCTGGAAGGTGGTAGAGAAGTGTTAGGTTCCTGCGCAAAGTCTTCAAGAAGCCTCGGACCGTGGAATGAAGTAAGCCAAGCAACCCACTCTGCATCACGCCGCGCAAGGTAGTCGTTCACGGTGACAACATGCACCCCCTGCGATTCAAGTCCAATTCCAAATATCGTGTCCAATCAATCATGCGTGTGCACGAGACTTTTGCAGTGCGACTTGACCTCGGTTTGGCTTAGATCCTTTCGAAGGCAGGACTTTCTGCTGCAGCATGGACCGAGACCTTGCCGCTGAGGGCGTTGAGGAATGCCGCTAGGATGGCGACCAGGGTTTTGCCCTGCCAGAGTCTTGCGCTTAGCAATTCTGTATTCCAAAGGAACTTAATTGAAAACAGGTCATTCGAGAGCATGGCAGTTCGGCCTCACCGGTGCCCATCTCTGCAATGTTGCCCTCGTGGAGAGCTATACCTTCGGCTTCCACCAAGAGCGAGCCACAAAAGGCAGAAGTCCTAGGTCCTAGGTATTCCTAGGTGCTCGCACTCCAAAAGGCTATCAGAACCGGCGATAGGCGAATGCTATCAACTGCGGCCTGTGCGACATAAAAAAGCCTTGAACCTGCAGCCGCTGACTGCGCACACATGCCGGGACTGCGCCTCCCATTAGCTGGACATCAAAGTGCCGAAGGCCCAAAACTCGCATCGAGGCCTGGATTGGATTCGCGCGGCCGAGAGAGAGCTCTGACCACATGCCCAGATGCGAGTGCATCACGAGCCACTGCCGCGCCTCTCGAACTAGAGCAAAGGCCTCCGGCAGCAGCGAGTCCAATGACTCCTCTGGCTGATTTGTGGGACTTCAACACACACCACGTCCGCAACGAAATCCTGCTGAACCACAACGCGCTCAGAGCGTGCTCAGGAGTCACGAGGCGCGATATCCTGTGGTGCTTGACCTGCTCATTCGGCTGAAATCCTACTGTCCTGGTTGTCTTGAGCCCGGCTCTTGAGGCTCTTGGTAAGTTCACCTGGCAGTTCTCAAAAGAAATACAACCCAGGTGCAATCAGTTCTTGCTGAAGCAGAACATCTTACTGAGGAATGTCTTGCCGCTAGGGAATTGTGCCGCGGCGACAAAGATGTAGAAGAATCAGACGTGAAGCAAAGCTGCAGAGGTGGCTAAAGCTAAAGCTCGTGGGGACAGACAGGCATCCGCAGATGATGGCAGAAGGCCTGAATCTTCCAGGAAGCGGCTTTCAGTCTGAGTGCGATGCGCAGCTCT